GTGTTGATGACAGAAGGTCTACCTCTGGATATTGTGCCCTTGTGGGAGGTAACCTTGTCTCTTGGAGGAGTAAGAAGCAAAGTGTTGTTTCCCGCTCCAGTGCTGAAGCGGAATACAGGTCAATGGMTAACGGAGTGGCTGAAATCTTATGGCTGAGATCACTACTTGAAGAGTTGGGTATTGACTATGAAAAGCCCTTAATGTTGTATTGTGATAATTAGGTAGCTATTAATATAGCCCACAACCCARTGCAGCATGACAGAACTAAACATATCGAAGTTGATCGACATTTTGCGCGAGAGAGGGTCACATCACAAGAAGTGTATCTTCCATATATCACATCTAATATGCAGCTCGCGGATATCCTCACCAAGGCTGTACCAAGGAAGAAGTTAGAGACAGACCTATCCAAGTTGGGAATGATAGATATCTACTCCCAACTTGAGGGGGAGTGTAGAGAACACTGATGTGGGCCCCACAGCAGTGGTCCCCACTGTGTTCGTAGGACAGCATGTGTAGTTATYTGTTTCAGTTATAGTAGTGTCAATTTGGGTCAATTTGTTAATTCAGTTGTTATTTATTTCAGTTTTTTATTTACTTTATTTATCATGTAAGTACTAAGGGCAGATTAGTCCTTTCCTTCATGTACTAAACATAACCTATAAATATTAAGAGTGTGGCGGCGGCAGATGTGTTAGAATCTGTCCCTCCTTTCAACTCCTTGTTCTCCTGTTTCTCTTCTCTTCCTTCTCCTTTCTCTCACTTTTCTTCTGCTTTTGTAAACCTAAAATCTATTAAGATTCAAGACTGATTACAGTCTTGATCTTCTACTATATGTACTTAAAACAATAGAATTTACCACTTATACAATAGAAGCCTAAGATGATATAATCAAGTTTGACTTGAAAATCCAACAAATCTACATACAATGGCAATGTCTAGTCTTGAATAATGTAAATAAATCATTTTCTAGTAAGGACTCAAACAAAGTAGAGAACTAGTTCTTAATTGAATTTTTTTGAATCGTAGTGAATCATAAAAATCATATAAATTGTAAGATTTATGAATCAAATCATAGGATTCAAACAAAAATTGTAAGATTTTTGCAGAAAAGGATTCAGACATAAGATTCAATTGAAACCCTTAGGATTCATGATTCAAATCGTGAATTGTATCGCAAATCTAAGATTTTGACAACATTAAGTGGTAACATGAGAAACTAACAAAATGCATGAGATTCTTAATGCTTCAATCATCCAATAATCACTACCCCAGAACATTTTGAAAATTAAAGTACAAAATAAACAACCCAATGTATTACAACCCAACAAAGAAGCTGAACCATTTTCCTCTCCATGTGGACAGTTCAGTGGTTCCTCTGTCCAAGTCAACAGGTCAACTCATGATGTCATGACAACTTAGAAGTTTCAAAAAAAAAAAAAGGACAACCTAGTAACCCTATGAAGAGGCCAAACAGGTCAGCGGTTCAATGATCAAGATTGAAAGTTTGTTAATCAAGTCAATGGTTTTCTGTCATATGGCAGGTTAAAGGTTAATTGGAACAGGAATTTCGAATAGGTCATCAGTTTCACTGGCTGGGTTAATAATGGGTTGAATTGTTGAAAACACTGAAACAACATATCAGTGCAATGAAGAAAGTTCCAATATTCCCACACTAAGTTAAAGAAGCATAATTTTCTATTGCAATATAAAGAATTACCACAAGATGTAAGAGGAACAACAAATTCCCTACTGTCAAGATGCACATGGGTTATACAACTAATGAGAAGATATCCACACTGGGTAAAGAAAGACTATACTTGCTTTAAATTGGTAAATTTCTATAATAGTTACTTTACTAGGAACAGGGAGATTAGACTACTATATGTAAAGCATATACTTGGATAATAACATACTAATAAGAAATCAAAACTGCAAAATGCAGACTACATTTCTCATACATACTTTGCCCTGCATGAGACTCCCCACCGGGTATGCTTCCAAATCCACCATCCAAATTTTTGCAGCTCACAACATAGTTAACAGCTTTTTCCACATTGATTTTATCTAACCGATGTAATAACGAGAGACAACATATTGCAATATAAGAGAATCTACAAACAGAGACAGTTGGTTAGAGAACTCATTGATAGAAAAGTACTTCAATAAATGAAGTCAAGCAACTACCAGGTGACTACTTTGCCTGACCACCCCTCAGACACTTAGGACACAAGATCACCAGCTAAAAAGTAATACTCTGTAAAACAGATCTTTCCAACTAGTCAAGAGATAGCGTAACATCTGCAGGGTCTCATTAAAATAAAATGCTTTTTCTTTTAAGTGGGAAGAGGAAATGCCCTTCAATATGGAATGGATTTGCCAATTGACTCATCGTTTTTTTGGGTGCCAGTTGACTCACGTAGAGGAGTCCAAACAACCTAGGTATTTTCCTCATGGCAACATGGTGTGGAGATGAAAATAGCCCCATGAACTCCTCTTTTCATCCTCTAGTCATTAGGCATAGGCAAGTTTCAGCCTAAATATCCTTGCCACACATTCAAAGCAAGTTTTTTTTTATAGAAATCTTCTAAATTAAAAAGAAATAAAACAGAAATCTTGGATGGCTAATATGACTGAGGAGAAGTTCATTACCATGTAAAATATAGAGCTGACATGGACTGAGGAATGAAGTTTAATGCTTTGTTGAAATTTCCAAGGCCATGCATCACCTAGAAAGGCCCTAAGCTTCTATGTCTTGACTACAATAAAAAGAGGGTAAATCACACCTTTTTTTTGATAAATAAGGGTAAATCACACCTTGACCTAAGGTTTCTTATGATTCATTCCCCATTGACAGTGATTAACAAAAAACAGTTATACCATTCAAGAAGGCTGCTACCCCTTGCAGAAACAATCTATCCTCTCACCACTTGTGTGAGCAAAGTGGTGACTGGTGAGGAGAGTGATTAATAAATTTTCAGGAATCTCAATGTTAAAACACCTCTAATTGCTAGAACCCTTAGGGAGTAATAGTTTACCTAATAAAAATGCAAAGAAATGCCATAATGTTAAATAAACTGAAGAAGAGAAATGGCACAAAAGCAAAAACAAAGAACCTTGTATCAACTTCACCCCACATGTCCCCCGAAAATGATCCATCTTCATTCTGCAGACTAGCAATATCTGAAATTATGATAAAGTAAAACAAGAAAAGAATGGGGATGCAACCTATCACATGAGGATTGGCATTATAGAAAATGAAATCATTTAGCAATTCAGGGTTAGTGGCTCTCCAAAGTCTCACAGTTTCCATTCCCAATTTCCCAATCTATTAAGAAAGAGAAGATATCTTAAGAGGAAATCACAAACCACACAAAATTGGAGGTAAAAGGATACAATTAGACAACTTATCGATATCAAGAACATCTAATTTGTCAAAAAGAGCCAAAACTTGCACAGCACTAAGGGTATACAGTATGTGTGGATCATGCCCAACATTACCACCAAAGCCTCCTGCGTATACAAAATATACAACCCTTGTCATTATCTTTATCTCAATTCTCAAACACCCTGATGTCCAACCAAAGTCACCACCAAGAAAAGAAACAAAAAGTTGTAATATGAAGAACCATCTTTTTTCTTTTCTATTTGTGTATATCATGCCAACCCACCCAGACTAGAAACTAGGTGTGGGGCTTGCAAGATGAAATACATACAGCTTAGTGCAGTTAGAATGTTTAGGTATGTGGGAAGACGGAACTCAGATATAGCCATTTAATTTTATAGAAAGGAAAAACATTGAGCTGTTAACTTATTGCACATATATAAATGTTAAGCATCAAGTTTCTTGTAGATATATTTCAGGTTTTTAAGTTTTTTTCAGATCATCTATCTTTAATCTCTCTTGTCCCTCTTATGGTTGTGGAGCAGAGGAGTTCTTCTATTAAGTCTTCTTCTTAGTCATTTAAATTTCTTCTAAATCAAGGGTTCCACACCAAGCCCAATTGTGTACATTCAAAATGCTGCCTTCTTCGCATTCCTGTTTTGGGCTACAAGGAATAATGTTAGAAAGAGATCCATTAAAGCCAACAAACGCCACTACCAAGCACCCCCATTGTCTCTTGAGAGTACTCAGTGATGAAGTGTAGGCAATGGATGAATTGAAAGTTGTTGATAGCATATGATTTATAGAAGTTGAAGGGGTTGGTAGTTTAAAAGATAGGTTCGAGCTTCTAGATTGATGTTTGGTTGGAATTTTCATAGATGCATCACCAGATAGGGAGAGGCTTATATTTGTCTGCTTCAGTGTTTTAAAAGCGCAAGGCGCAAAAAAGGTGCAAGGGCCATTTTGCACCTGAGGCGCAAGGTGCAAGGCGCGCACGATTTAAAAAAAAAAAAAGCAAAGAATTCAAAAAAAATGCAAAAAATTATAAAACATAATATTAATAAAAATATTAACTTAAGTTTTAAAATAAATGTTTTAAGAAACCTATTATCTAAAATTAAAATACATATATATAATATGTAAAGCATATTCAAATGAGAATTTAAAAATGAAATCAAACATATAAAACATTTTCAAGCATATAAAACCCACGATCTCTTTTTTTTCACAATTGCATCAAGTAGCTAATGTATATTACATTCCTAATTCTACGAGCCGCCTTTGTGCCATGCCCCTCGAGGCAAAAAGCGGCAAATTTTCAAAAGGCACACGCATGGGCTAAGGTGCAAGGTGCAAGGTGCACCAGGCATGTGCCTTTTGAATGGGTTGCGCCTAGGACCTGGGCGAGGCGCCTACCCTAAAATGCACCTCAACTGAGCGCCTAGGCGCGCCTTTTAAATCACTGGTCTGCTTGAAAAAAAGGATCGATGCCTTTAATGTACTTAGAAGAGAATGGTTATTGAACAGATCTCCTGAGCTCTATATTAATCGTTGGTCTTTTATAGTGGGATGTATCAGGAATGACAAATTTTCAAAATTAGTTTGGATCAATGTGGTTAGGACCTCCATACATCTGTGGTGCATTCCGGGCATTTGGGTCAATTGATGATGCAGTGGGAAGATTTATCATGGTTGACAAAAATAATGTGTATTATTGAGGTGAGAATTCTAATTAATACGTCAGACATGCTCACTATTCCCTTGGATACCGATTTGATCTTCACAGGTCAAAGATGTGAAGTGAGAAACCCTGCTAGAGGAAGAAGATCTTACCACCGAAGTGCAGATCTATGAGAACAAAAGCTGAGTAAGGTAGTGGGCAGGAGATGGAAGACAAATTGGTCAAAAGCAAGGTCAATAATGGAATTTCACATCATCTTGAGGAATGTATGGATGTGAGGTTAGGATAAAAGAAAATAAATGGAGGTAGAAAGTTCCATGAAGTTATTAGCCGGTTTCAAGTATTACAACAGAAAGATCAAAAGTCTAGGGCAATGTGCAAAAAATATTTTGTAGACGAAGTATTAATTAAAAAGTTGGATGGTAGAGACTCAAAAAACAAGAATTCTTGAAGGGCCAAGATTGTTTCCTAAAGTGCGATAGAGAAGTAGATGGAATCATTGGAATTCGGCAGTTCAGAATGAAAATAAGGTTTGGTGGGGACCACTTTGTTAAAGTATCACCGGTGTATGGTCAGGTTGGATTGATCTGGAGGCAATGGATAACCAAGAGGTTTTCTTATAACCCATGTTCACCTTCATCTTTACCTCATGAATGATCCAGTTCAGGTTGAGTCTTACAAGAAGAGGTAGTGGCAAAGGAGTTGCATGGCTCCCATGAGTGGGTGTGGAGAGGTGAATCTGCTATACTTTGAGCTGGATACTGGTGGAACACAACAAATACTTGCAACAAAGTTCAGGTTCCAAGATTTGTTAAGGCTGTCAAAGATCTTCAACTGCTGATGGAGATCATATTGAGACTGGTGTGTCCGCATGCTTATTTTGTTTAATGTAAAAGATCGCACTTACATTTGGTGCAGGCAACATTAGTTTAGGACTGATTTTGCTTAATGTAGGACTTGGGTTTATTTGTAAAGTTTCTTTTGTTTGATGGGTTAATTTGTAATATTTCTTTCTAGAAAGGGGTTATTTGTTATTTTATATTTAGTACGGGTTTACTTGTATGTTTCAGCTTTAAGTTTCTTATAAAGCCTAACATTATGCATTAGGGTTATGTCATGCTCTGAGAAATAGAAATTTTCAAATTCTTCTCTTCAACTGTTATCCTCTCTCCTCTGCTACTTCTCTTTTTTTTTTTTGTTGACAATTAAAGAATTAAACTCATTAAAGAGAAATCTGCTACTTTTCTTCTTCTTGTTGTTTCTTCCTCTTTTCTTCTAACAGGTGGTGCTGCATCAACTGCAGTACCAGTGGAGAGTGTTAAAGGTTAGAAGCAGATTCTAGATGCAAGATTCGTAGAAGATTTCCAAGATTGTCCAGCTATTTCAGTGGAAAAAATTTTAGAGCAGGTATATGTGATCTTTTTTTTTTTTTTTTGAAATTCTACCCTCTTCTGAAGAATATCATGATCATAGAGATGTAGAGGCTGAGCGAAATGAGGTCAAGGTGCTTCCTCAAAAAGTAACTTTGGGGAGTTGTGATGAGATCAAGCTAGATGACAGTAGTTTGGTGATTCAGAGGCTAGGTTCAGTCTCAATACCTGGTTTTTTCATCAAAGAATATTCAGAGCTTGACTTGGAGGATGAAACCAAAGCTAATGGAGAGGATTGGATGCCTAGTGAGAAGGCTTAAGCAGGGGGGTATTCAAGTGACTTCTCTATACACCACTCTTGATCATAGAGGTAGCAAAGGGGATTCATCAGTAACTGTAAGTCAATTGTGATGCTCAGAGGTCAAAGTATAGAACCAAGTCATTTGTAGACATTGTTGATGCAATGACTAGAGATATTTTTTATGGATAACTGAAATTTTATTAATATCTAAATATAGAAAAAATAAACTGTATGTACAAGTGCAAAGCACCCTGAAAACCTAGAATGGCCATAGCCAAACCCTATATGCAAATCTTAATTCTTATATCCGTTCAGCATTTACAACACCCCACAAAAACTTCCCCCTTTGCACTCCTAGTTTATTTAAGGTATCGACCAAACCATTGGCTGATCTATGAACCCAATTAAAGCTGAAGACTAGAGATTGCTTAGCTGATTATGATAAATTAAAAATACAGGGTTGAAGGAAGAGGGGGAAGAATATGAAGGTAACTATTTTGTCGTTGACCAAAAGTTTAAGGTTGATAAGTTTTTGGATATTAAGAAAGTGGTTGATAGAGAGATAGAGGGGGGAAGGAAATTAGGGGTGTTCTTTTTTAGGAGGCGAGGAACAAACTAGGAAAGTGATTTTAAAATTGGAACAGAAAGAGGGGATAAGAGGTCATAAATTAGCTTCTTCAGAGTCCAACAAATAGTCTGGGGAGCTGAATCATAAGGAGTCAGAAAGGGTGAAGCTGAACGTTGTCGGATTGTGAGGGGATAGATGGAATGTGCATTTTGAGTTATTGGAAAGGATTGCAGTGTGTGGACTGTGTGGTTTTATATTTGTGTAGAAAAGTTTTGGGTGGGATTTCTAAGGATTGGCCAGTATTTGAGTCTGAGATGTTAGCAGTATGTATAATGGTTTAGGTTTTGGGTAGAATTGGATATTTAGGAGATTATGTATGTGTATGTTATTACTAATCTATTCTGGATATATAGAGTGGTGATAATACATTTTTCAGGGATGCCTTGTGAGGAGTTTATGTTTGTTTCCTCCTGGTCATATCTTATCACCTGAGCCTATAATTTTTTTTCTCATTTAATAAAATTTTCCCTTTACTGTCACAAACAAAAAAGTCACACCACCCCAAGCAAGGGCATATGAGAATAGTAGTGTCATTGCCAGTGTTTTAAAAGCACAAGATGCAGGGGTCAATTTGGTAATGTTGCTCATTCATTCATCCTAATAAAATGTCTTCTTAAAAAACAAATAAAACTGTAAAATCATTATTTTTTGTGTGAAAACTAAGAATTTAAGACCTAACGTGGACTTGTTTGGGCTTGCCTCGAGGGGCGTGGCATGGGGGTCTGGGGGCAGAGCCCCTGGCTCAGCCGCTACATTCAAAAAAAAACAAAAAAGCGTCAGGTGCAAGCCTAGGTGCACCAGGCGTGCGCCTTTTGAAAGGGCTGCGCCTAGGACCTACGCGAGGCGCATACCCTGAAATGCGCCTTGCAATTGCATATAATATAATATAGTTAACGGTTATATCAAAACAAGGCTTCCTATGTAATATGTTTAAGATCATTGTAAATGACTGCTTAATAGCCACAAATGGCCTATAACATGATGACTTTGGCAAAGGACTTGGCTGGGCAACATTATTACTTAGCCACTACTTTACTGCCAGTCTGTCACTTGACTTAACAGTATTTAGATTAATTACAGAAACTACTGGAAAAAGTGATTATCATTCACATTTCCCAGATCTTAATGCACATGAAATCCTGGGTGGACCCATCAAATGACAAGTCATAGCATTTATGACTAATGCATATAGGGTAGACGAAAAGGCATGTACAATATATCTGATTAGACATTAATCTGACTGATGAAGTGAGCAGATTTAGTAACAGACCAGATTCATGTTGGCAGCTCATGACCCATGAAACAACTTCATCTTTATCCACAATTTCAAGCTTTCCCAGGAGATCTAGAGTGGTCAATCCCCAATATGCACCATTCATCCTTAGATGTTCCATCACCACAGATTCAAAATCATCCTTTCTCTAAGAACAAGATTGCCGGAGGTTTAAAAGAGTGTTAAAAGTTATGATCATATCACAACTTTTCAAGGTAAGAATCATGGAAACATATAAGAAAACCAACCTTTTCAACTGATAAAATGTATTGAGCATGTTTCTCCACCTCAAGCTTCTCCATTGAAATCTGCAAGAATAAATAAATAAAATAGTATAAAAAATCCACACCTATTTTGAATCAAAGCCTCAAATAGATAAATAAAATACTATTTGGGAAGACAAAATAACATCCAGCTAGGGGTGTTGATTGGACTGGATTTGGTCCAATTCGATCCAACCTAACATGGGTCCATTTACAAATGGACCAGACGCAATCCGATCTAAATCCATACATACTGAGTCCAAACCGGTCCAATTAAAATGCAAATGGGCCGGATTGGGCCCAAACCAAATGAAACATAAAAAAAATTACATGAAAAAACCCAAAAAAACTACAAAATTGCATTAGAAATTTCACAAAAATACAAAAATGCATCAAGATAGAAAATAAATTAAGATAAAATATAACTGAATTTCCATACCAAACCATGGTTTTCAATGAAATCTAGAGCTACTGCAACGAGTTCCTCATCACAAGATATTGAAGAACTGTGGACACTAATGTCATTTCTAACCCATCAAAGCAATTTTTCAGCCCCACTTTGAAATCGCATTCCCTTGCTTTTCTTTTTCTTCTTTTTATTTTTTCTCTTTCCTAATCAAATGTCTGTCATACATGATGCAGGAACCTCTCCTGCTTTCTTAGTAACACACTAACACCAAAAGTTGAAAAAAAAGGGTAAATTGCAGATTATTACCTGTACTTTGGGCCTAGTCTCGCTTTGGTACCTGAATTCCAACACATGCCAATCCAGTACCTGAACTCCCAAAACTTCCTAGTTTAGTCCCTGCCGTTAGTAGTCTGTCAGTTATCTGTATCATGCGATGACACATGCAACTTAGAACTTTTGAAAATGTCAAAATTACCCTTCAAAATAATACATTGTTCATCTTCTTCCTCAAGAATCAAGATTGGACTAAAGCAATGGTGAACAACCCAAAGGACATTTGGATTTGGGCATTTGGGTGGTTGATAAAGAAAATTAGATGACACCCGAAGGGCATTTGTGTCTTTTGACATGACACTTAACAGTGGTTAACGATTTTGGACTAAACTGGAACGTTTTGGGAGTTCAGGTATTGGACTGGCATGATTTGAAATTTGGGTACCAAAGTGAGACTAGGCCCAAAGTACAGGGTACTAATCTGCAATTTACCCAAAAAAAAGAAAAGAAAAGGTTCTGAAATATAACATTGCACACTCAATATCAGTCTTTGCTCTTCAGCTTAAATCATATACGGAAGTAACACTAACCTATCAATTGAAATCTTTAAAAAAAAAAAAAAAAAAGCAACTCTGTAGTGTCATTTCCGAGATTTCCACCCAAAAAACAGCAGCCAGAGAAGCAATAATGCAGACCCATAAATTTCAAGCAAATGGGTCCAAGCACAGACAGGCAAAAAAAACAGGGGAAAAAAAGCTGAATTGGCTAAATCCCAATCTGTTGTGCTTGATTGGAATAAAGAAAAATTAATCCAAGAAAACCTCTAGAAAATTTTGCAAGTGACAAATTTTTCTCAGGGTCTCCCCGCATTATCTTCCTGAACAGCCTGCTTCATGTATTCTATAGTAGACTCCTTGAAATTGCTATAAATCTTTCGGTTCCAACGAATTTCATAAAAACAAACCAAAAGGTCCTCACCAAGAAAATCTAACCTAAAAATATCATAAAATTCTCAGAAAAAATCCCTTCTGTTCTCTTCCTCTTCCTCTCTATATAAATATATATAATCCCAAATCAAATCAGAATATCAGATATAATATATAATTCCCAAGTGTCTCCATATTCCAGGATTCGATCTCTTACGATTCATGACTTATAAAATATAAACTGCAGATGAACCCTAGAAGCTCATTGACACCCTTGCCTATGTCTTCTATGAAGAAACTTCTAGTCAAAACCAAGAAAAAGAGCAGAAATTACAGGAAAAAGACCTTGATTTTGCGAACTCGAGTTGCAATGAAACAAAAGGAGACGCGGATAGAACTCTTTCTTCAATTAACTCGTTTGTCGATCCCTTTCTAACCTTCGTTTTCCTATCAGAAATTATATCCAAGATCACAGAGACAGAGAATTAGAAGAGGGAAAGCAAACCATCGAGAGAGAGAGAGAGAGGGAGAGGGGTTTCGGAGTTAAGTTTAGACTGGTCCGGTTCCAAATCACATTTGGATCAGACGGGGTCCAACCCAAAACCGCTCCATTGACAGTTTGACACCCCCTACACCCAGATCAAGCGCTCCATTGACACCCTCCTCATCGGATTTGTCCAGTTTCAGTCCGTTAGTTGCACCGGGTTAAGTTTGGACTGGTCCGGTTCCAAATCACATTTGGATCAGACGGGTCCAACCCAGAACCGATCCATTGACACTCCTACATCCAGTCCAGCGCTCGCTGCGCTCCTATTTAAATAAGTGAGCTGTGACTCTCCGAGCCATCGGGTTAATTTTGAGATCCTTGTTGATGAAGAAAGATTTGGCCCAACCTCGCAATCACTCCACGTGGCAAAAGCAAATAGCTCGGCACAACAGCGCACCCAGGGCGCAAGCACCAAAGGGAAGAAACCAGCAGTCCGAACTCCCTTCGAGGAGCCTGAACTCCCTA